GTACTGAATAGAGAGGATACAGTAGGAGAGAGGTGAGGGTTTGGAAAAAGAAACAACTGAACTATGACCATGTCATGACCATGATCCCACCAGTCCCATGGTTGGTGAGGCAGTGGTGATAACTGCCAGCAGCAGCAGCAGACCTGACCCTTGAGCTCAGCTCTTGTTTCCTGGATGAATAAACTTTCATTCCTCTGTTTTCTGAGCCCCCACAACTCCTGGTTTCCAAGCTTTGAACTAGTTCTGGCATCAGCTGACTGTGCAGAGCTAATAAGTGGAAGTTAGCAAGGTCTTTCCTCTGTAGAACCTATACCAACCAAAAGCCAGGCTATATTAAATGAGATGCTGAAGTGCTGCTTTTCCCTTAGTTCTGTGGCTCATCTATCTTCAAAATATTAGCTGGGTAAATATTAGTATGATGTTTAACATAAATAAACCATTTGTCTTATTGTGATGCCAACTGATCCAAACCCAGCACGTGTGCCATGGGGACTGCCATGCTCCAGTGAGGATGCTGGAAGACCTTGGCCTTGCCTGCCCCTGCTCAAGCTCTTTGTTTCCACCTTATTTTTTGGGTTGATGGGGTTTTTACAGTTTTGGTGTTAGCAGCTTCCAAACCTTTGAGACCTGATTTGTGTGTGGTTGCTCTGTACGTGCCACCACCTCTACTCGTATCTGGGTTGGACTAGATGGCTTGTAAAGGTCACTTCCAACCCAAAATTGTTGTAGAATTCTACAATCTCCTAAGCCTTAATTCTACACAGCCCTAACTAGCCACCCAAGGAGGCCAAGCAGGCTGGGGTGCTGCCCTGCCAAGCTTGGTGGTGACGTGTCTGCCTCTCCCTCTGCCCTGCAGGGATCTACATCCTGATCGCCGTCGGAGCCGTCATGATGTTCGTGGGGTTCCTGGGATGCTATGGTGCTATTCAGGAGTCTCAGTGCCTTCTGGGAACGGTAAGAGACACAGATTTGGGTGCTGCTTGGCACCGTGGTGGCCTTCCATGTGGTTGTGCCTCCCTTGGTGGGAGACTTCTCCAGCAAACGGGGCTGGGAGGATGGGTGAGCAGTTAGGTGGTCACAGATAACACAGAGCTGGGCTGCCATCCAGCAAGACCTTGCCAGGCTGGAGAGTTGGGCAGAGGGGAACCTCATGAAGTCCAACAAGTGTAGAGTCCTGCTCCTGGGGAGGAATAACCCCATGGACCAGGACCGGTGAGGGGTTGGCCTGCTGGGAAGTAGCTCTGTGGAGGAGGACCTGGGAGTCCTGGGGGATGAGTTCACCATGAGCTAGCAATGTGTCTTTGAGGCCAAGAAGACCAATGGTCTCCTGGGGGACATGAAGAAGAGTGTGGCCAGCAGGATGAGGGAGGTTCTCCTGCCCCTTTACTTTGCACTAGGGAGGCCACAGCTGGAGTACTGGGTCCAGTTCTGGGCTCCCCAGTTCAAGAGAGACAGGGAA